TCACACATGGAGGAGAGAAATACTACAACTGAGTGTGGGGATCTGATATCTTACATGGACACACCCGTGTGTGTGTGTGTGTGTGTGTCCAGTTGTAAGATTCAAACTTGAAGGGATACTGTGTAATTATGTCAAACCTAACTGTTTATAGGTTTGTGAATTCAAGTAATATAAGATAAGAGAACATAACAAAAGAACAAGAAAATGAGACGGAATGATACTCTCCACACACTTGGCAAACAAATGTTCAGCACCTTGCTCACTGAACCTAGCTGTCAATCAACATAATAAAGTGAAGCAGTGTTTGTGTAGCTCGCATTTTTGAGCGGTTTAAGTTTTTTTTGTTGTTTTTTTTTCCCATTGGCAACGCCTTTGCGGTGTAACTTTAAATCAATCCAAAGGTTTTTCTTTTGAGTGTGCATGGTGTTCTGCATGTGTTTACTGAAAAGCAATACAGTTTGTGCATTGCATTTCATATTCTCTTCGCTTCTGAGATTGCGTAAACAGAATCACACATTGAAATCCAGGGCAGCAACATGGACTGCATTTAAAGAAGGCTGACATTGACTTCTGACACAAGTTCAGGATCTAATTCTGCTGAGCATTTATCATTAATGACATCAGACTGCAATTCAGTGATGGGTTTGCTTTTCAGTGTGGTACCTTTTCTATGTGTAACTACTCAAAAAAAAACCCAACACTGTTCATGAAACAGTTTCAGCCAAGGGTGACACATTGAGACAGAGGGTATAGCCTTGGTTCGAGCTTTTTTGGGAGCTTGGCTCTTAATGCTGAGTTGAGCCAAAATGATCTGACTCACTGAAAAGAGACCCCCCGTACTTTTACCTCGAGATCACGACTTGTTTTTCTTGTGAGCTCAATCTTACACCTCCAGGGTCGGGGGTTCGATTCCCTGTGTGTGTGCACGGAGTTTGCACATTCTCCCCGTGCTGTGGGGGTTTCCTCCGGGTACTCTGGTTTCCTCCCTCAGGTAGGCTGATTGGCATGTCAGGGACATGTCCAAAATGTCTGTAGTGTATGAATGGGTGTGTGATTGTGCCCTGCGATGGACTGGCACCGTGTCCAGGGTGTACCCCGCCTTGTGCCCGATGTACCTTCCCTGGGATAGACTCCAGGTTCTCCGTGACCCTGAAGGAAGGATAAGCGGTATAGAAGATGGACGGATGGATGGATCGATTTTATTATCGAAAGAAAATAACTTTTGTTATCTCGAGATCATGAGGAACATAAAGTAAATAAAAAGATAACGGCACAGAACATATAAAGAACGTATTATTTATTGATTGGATTATCATCGGATACCCAGTAAGACTGGGTGTAAAGTGCAAATAAACCAAATGAAAAAGAAAAAGAAGTGGAAATAAGAGCTCTCCTGAAGAACACTCATGGCGGTAGAGATCAAGGCGGGTGTGGGGAGGCGCTTCCGTGTTGACTGTGGAGTCAGGAGTCAGTAGAGTCAGTAGAGTGGAGCGGTAGCGGCAGAGAGTCAGAGAGCTTTCTCTTGTGTTAGTACGACGCTGTACTTCTTCAGCCTAAACTTGGATTAAAGTCCTCGGTGTGTTTGTGGATGAAACGATGAGTGTGTACGGCTCGCAGCGCGCGCTGCACTCTCTCAGCCGGCGCACTGGCTCGCGCAGCGACGTCGCAGTCGGTTCCTATCAGTTCGGCGGTAATGGATTCGAGCAGGACTATCCCGAGGACAACAATGGCTACACGTTCTCCAAAGGCTCCATGGGGGGAGGACAGGGGTAAGCGTTCCTCACAAAGCTTCGGCAACACTGTAGTTTGGCCATCACATAGCCAGGATCCACGATGTAGAGAGGTGGCTTATGGGATGTTTTTATGGAGAACTTGGGGCTGAGCACTGTGGTCTTGGATGAAATGAACAAACACCCACCTTGGATTTCAGACAGAGGCCCACATCTGTATCGAGATGAATCATCTGTTTCAGCACTAGACTTTTACCAGTGCTCCTAGTATTTAAATTGTGACCCAAAGTCCAGTCCATAATAAAGCCCATGTTCTCTAACCTCTGTATTAAGTTTCAAGGCTCACCAGGTGCTGGTGGTGTTTTCTTACCAGTTCACAACAATGAATCATCTGATGGCGGTCAAAAAGTCAATGATCTATCTATCTATATGATTGCTCGATTAAAAATTGACCTTTACAATAGCCTTTTAGAGATGGGTCTTTAATGTTCATGCACTGTTTCATGGTTAATTCTGTATATTCATACATGCGTCATTATTGATCATTGGTTAGTGCTGTAGTCTATAAACAGACTTAAAACAGAAAGTGCACAGAGTGCAGATTGTTTTGGCTCTCCTGTATTCTCTGCCCCCTCAGCAGTTCCTGTAAATCATGACCTAGGCGTGAACTGTATGGTGGCAGGGGAATCTGGTTAAGGAATTAGTTTTAAGAGAAGGAAGTTACACTTTAACATACCTTTTTTTTTTGGAGTGAATTTTAATCTCGACACGTACATTCACATTTATCTTATTTTGGGTTATTATTATTTTTTTATGAACAAATTATAATCAGAAGTCACGTCTCGTTGTTTTCTAGAACTTAAAATACCGTTTTAAACACATGTTGCTTTTAAACCCCAAAGCAATTGTTTGGTTTGTGTGCATGAGCCTGTTTTACTGTATGAGTTCATATTCTGTGGGAAAAGCAGAACAGAGTTATAATTCAGGATTATACAATGTCTAGAGGAATTTGCACACGGGTATTAAGGCTGGGGCAAAAATAGATAATAGCCAGGCTGCACATCAAGCAGTACAGCATTCGAAATGTGTCATTTATACAATGAGCGAGTCTTAATATAGAGTTGTTGTTTTGCTTTTTTAACCAAAATGTTGAATCTCCTGAATGGCAGTGATGGGGTTTTCTTACAGCTGTAACGTTCATGCATGTTTGTGCAAGCTTCTCTGCACACGATCCAGCATTAAATATTCTCTTTATTATAACCTTTCTTCTCTTTAGACCTCCGCTTCATGTTATCACCCATCAGAGAGCTTCTGTACTCCACGGCCAATGCCAAGAGTTCCTCCATAAAGCTGAGTTTATTTTACAAACGGTGAGTGTAATCTGCAGTTCCACTTGCTCCCGCTCTTTCTTTCTTTTTTATTTTTAAACCGGTTATGTTTGTGGTGAACTGACGTATGTTGGTGTTGCAGGACACGGATAGAGTGCGGGCTTCAGTAGAAGCAGAGCACTGCATGATGTCAGCCGGGGATCTTATTGAACAGATCAAAGGTCTTGCTGTTGATCTTCACAACATGGGCCTGCCCAACGAGAGTTTGCTAATGATGTGAGATATGCACGCACACAAATACAGACGTCTGCATACATTTACAGACACAAACAATGCCACACAAACACATACTGTATATGCATAAACATAGGCCTGAACATACGGTTTGCACCGTACAATATATTATAAATTCTCAAAAATATAGCGCCTTGCAGAAATATTTGGACACTTTCCGATGTCATTAATGCATTTTCCTATTTAAAAATTTTCTGTAGCCTTTTTGAAACTAGTTGCTTACATTGTGCCTTTTACTGCGACTTGAATGATCGAGAAAGCTGCAGCTAGTCTATTAAAATGAAGAAGCTGGATGGCACAGGTTTAGAGAACATTATACTCATGAGACTAATTAAAACTGCATTTTCTGAATAAAGAAATGGAAGAGAGATTTCGCTGAAGCACACACAAATTATTTCCGGAATGCTGTGGAGAGGGGGAAAAAAAGGTAGCACAGCTGGCACAAATCAAACAGACAGCTGCCCTGCATTGTGGACATTCTCCAACGCTTTATCTGGGTTTTGACACAGCATTGTTTAGATAATACATGAGCTAAATGCAGAATAATTGTTGCCACGGGCCTCTAAATGCAGCAGAACTGAGACAACAGTAAGCTGTATATATGAAGTAAACTATTCATGTTACCTACAGTGAATGTGTGTGTAGGGGGGGTGGGGGGGCACATTTAATAAGTTACAGTCTCGAGTCTCAACAACAATAATAGATGTAATATCACTTGTACCAAGGACATCCAAGCAAACTCTGCAGCATTTCAAGGAGCTTGCAATTTTTCAAAATCATCACAACGTTCATTCTGCTAAAGCCCTCTTCGGTTCAAGTGTGCCGAACATGAGTACAGCTAAAAGGTCTCATTTACCAACAGACATCACTGCAAAAGACAATTTCATGCAGTCGCAATTTTGCCAATTCAAGTAGTTTTCTGCCAAATAAAGCACGAAAACCTCGAAAAAGCCGCAGTTAAATCGAGCATTCTAGGCTGCAGCAAACACAGAAACCTCTGTGAAATCATGTACGGACTGGTTTTAGCTGCTGTGTACTGTATATTTACTAAGGGGTGTGAAAAACACCAACCCTATAGCTGTGCTGGAGGGAGGAATAAAGGACAAAATAAAGGGCAGATTTATGTTCAACCTGATTACCTTTACCTCATTACCTCGCTTTAGTACCTCTTGGCTAAATGCAGTTAATTAAATCAATTAATAAAATGCATAATAATGTAAGAGGGGAAACCAGTACAAAAATTAAACCAAATTTTCTATGATTTAATGTGATTAACTAGGACTACTCATACAGCAATAAATTGACAACATACTACACTCCTATTAGATGGTTATTTCAGTGCTCTCCGTATTCTCCTTCATATACTGTATCATCATATTGTTTGTTTGTTTGTTTGTTTTTCATTTCTTAAATTGTCTGTTGCTTTTATGTTGCATCATAGTACATTTGACAGCAAAGGGGAAAAAACTTTACTTCCATCTGCATTTTCAATCCCGGGCTTAAGGCAAAGTACTCGTGTTTGAAGATGGTTATCCAGGTGCTACTGGAAACCCCGTTCTCATTTTCTTCTATTGAAGAAAAAGCTGGCAGCCTTGGAGGTTCACGGTTGACTGTCATAGTCATTGATTGTGAAATTGTAGAAAAGGCATTCCCTGCCCAGGAATCGTGCCTGGGCTGTGGTGGTGAGAGCACTGAATCCTAACCACTAGATCACCAGGGATATTGCAGAGGTGTGCAATACATGTGCGGAATTTTAATCTGAGTAGACCACTTAGGAACCTGATTTTTATACCTGAATACCATACCTGAATCCTCCGTCAGCCTTTCTTCATTATAGCTGGAGTTATTTGATTACTGATTAAATCTAAATTATTTTTTTTAAAGATCAGAGCTCTCTGTATAATCACTTAATTGCAGTACTGAGCATTGAAGCATCACGGTGCTACCAACTTTCAATTAAACACCTTAGATGCATGCCTAAATAGTTGCTCATTTAAGAGAACTGTTGTACATTGGTTTTATTCTTAAGCTTAAGTATACTAGTCAATTTCCTGATTTCAGAAAAGATCAAATTTTAATATGAGGAGCTATGTACATACCAGCCCTGCTTTGATTCAGTCATTTTTGTGCCTAGTGTTGAAGAGTGCACAGAGCAGATGAGAGCAGTACACATGGCTCTGGGCGGCTCTCTGCAGAGGAAGAACCGAAGCAGCAGAGGCAGCATGGGCTGGGATGAGGCGGACAGGAACTTCCAAGATGCCTTTGCCTGGATTGGCCAACAGAAGGTAAAGTCAAACGCATAGTTGGTCATAATCACTATACTTTCATATTCAGACAAGGAAGAGCAAAGGAGTCATAGGGAGAGAGCCACAGTACTTTTCCTTCCTCTTTCTTTGTGGGCCATGTCAGAATTTCAAAACAACATTCTTCAGAGAATGAATGAAAAGAATCTTCATCCACACAATAAAGTGCGGCCTGTATTCAAGCCCATGCAGGCACACTGCCAACACCTCCCGGTGGAGCAAAAAAACCCTATCTGACTGTAAATCTAGGATTTGGCTATTCCTTCTTTCGTGGAAGGTCTTTCAACAGTAGAGTCGTTTTTTTTTTTTTTTTTATAGAGAGAAACTGCTGCCAAGCAGTAGTGTGCCCAGAATATTGGCAGGGATGGGAAACATTAGGCAAATAATACACCCACCCCTCTACTGCATGTATCCAAACCACAGTAACTCTGAAAGTGGAAATCTTTTGGGTGTTTGAATTTTTTTTTTTACAAAAGAGGGAACTGGATCATTTGCATTACAGAGAGGCAAACAGAAGCGTGAAAGAAAGCTTTTCCTTGGCAACATGCAATAACCCCCCGAGAATTACGGCAGAGTCACATGACCTGCCTGCTGATCTAGTAGGCTGTACAGTACAAACAAACTTAATTATCTTAAATATCCCCCAAATATATCTTTTTTAAAGATATAGCTTTTATCTGGTTATTCTATCTTACAAGAAGTTATTCTTTTTTACAACAAGCATGCGCATTGATAAGAAAAGCGCTATGGGTTGATTGTACAAGAGCACGATGGCATGTAATAAATTACACATGATTGCTCATACTGGTAAAGGAAAATAACACATGCTGTGGTGGTGTGATACAAATGTATATATAAAATGTATTTATATATATATATATATATATATGTATATGTATATATATATATATATATATATATATATATATGTATATATATATATATGTGTATATATGTATATATGTATATATATATATATATGTGTATATATATATATATATATATATATATGTGTATATATGTATATATATAATATATATATATATATATGTGTATATATATATATATATATATATATATATATATATATATATATATGTATGTATATGTATATATATATATATATATATAACAACACAGTATGGCCACAAAATGTGTTATTCCACTTATACAACATGCCCATGGCTACAATTTTTAATTTATTAATGAAGGACACATCACACTTATTAACTATTTATAGATACAGTATCTCAAGTGAGTACACTCGTCCCTCAGGTTTTTGTAAATATTTGATTATATCTTTTAATGTGACAACACTGAAGAAATGACACTTTGCTACAATGTTATAGCAGCTATAAACAATTGTACTCTCACCCCCTCCCCCTTCTTTCAGTAAATAGGACAAGAAAATGCAGCAAAGCACAAACCTCATTCCATAACTGTTATGCAAATGTCTGCTAACATATCAGAACAAGTGCATTAATATGCCTCTATCAATTATGGGACAGATGGAATTATTTTTCAGAGCTGCTTTTATAGAAAATGAAATTAAGTTAATTGAATTAATGTTAAACACACACAGAAGCTTTAAAACCCTGCTCTTTAAGTGCCCGTAATTAAGCTGATAAGTTGCCGCTAGCATACTTCAACCACACAATTATGTTTAACGTTTTAACAGGGAGTGTCGTTTCGATTTCTTCATTCTTTCTTACACAATTCACTTCCTTTGTAGCGTCTGCTAGAGACCTCGCCATGGGGAGACGATCCCGCTATAATAGATCAGCAGATAATGAATCACAACAAATTTCACAACTCTATCCAGAGAAGTGTGGAAGTGGAAAGAGCTCAAGAGGAACTAGTAAGTTTATTAAGCACGCATATATACACACACGCATGCGTTAGCATGCATACTCGCACAGAAACATTCAGTTTAATGGTAGCATTTTTATTTTTTTGCCTTCAGATCATTCTGATCTTTTAAACACCATCTTTTGTTTTACTGGCTATACAAATGACATTGCTATCTACAGAACCTGTATTAAAACCACACACTTGTATTCCTGCTAAAAAAAGAAATATTATGTAGGGAAATGTATCCATGCAGTGCATCACAATCTACCAGAGCTGCTAATTAATTTTTCACAACTGCAGTTTAAAAAAAAACCATATCAGTCATCTTAAATTGAAAATGAATGACTTCTTGTCGTTTCCTGGTGTCACGTTGCCGTGTGAGTGGACTCTGAACAAATCTCTCTCACTCTAATGCAAATACACACCTAAGAACAGAGCTGTAAATCTAGACCATATTAGGTTAAGTCAAACAGTAAAACACTTGTGCAATAAAGACATAAAGGCTTTTGCCCTGTTACACAGAGAGAGAGAAGAGACAAGGCCAGCCTGCATTGGCTGGAGCAGGAGTGGGACAGCCTACAGGTAGGCACTAAACAGTCACTTGTGCCAAATGTCCATTACCACAGATTTCGGGTCACACAGTGCCATGAAAAAGTATTTGCTGATTTCCTTTATTTTTGCCACAGTTTCAGCTTCTCAGACACAGTTGGGAAACACAAAACACAGTTTTTAAATGATTTTCATTTATTGAAGGAAACGGAATTATGCAACACTGAGATCACTCATGTGAACAAGTAATCGCCCTCCTAAACCTTATAACTGGTTCTTTAGCACCTTTAACAAGTGCAACCAAACACTTCTGATAACTGGAGAGCAAATTGCTTTAATTCGGCCACAATGGAGGACTTTCAAGCATGAAAGGTATTGTCTAATGGTGTACTCGCGCTAGGCAGAATAGATCGTTCTGTAGCTGAGACCCCCAAAGTCTAGTTCATTTTAGTAGTGCAGGGGTGTCCAATATTATCCGGAAAGGGCCGGTGTGGGTGCAGGTTTTCAGTCCATCCAAGCAGAAGCCACACTTGAGTCTATTGAAAGCCAAAATCAACTGATTAAACAATTGGAATCAGGTGTGGCTCCTGCTTGGTTGGAATGAAAACCTGCACCCACACCGGTCCTTTCCGGATAAGATTCAACACTCCTGGAGTAGTGTGATCGCTCCGTACCGTGCCCAGGCATGCTTGGTTCAGTTGGACTTAGACACGGTACGCATATAGTTTGATGGCCGAGCACAAAACTTGATGTCAATGATGCGACCGTCCGCTTCCTCTGACGACTCCAAATAAGCCATGATAATAAACTTTTTTTTTATTATTATTATTTAAGGCCTTTAAAAGTAGCTTCTCAAGGCACTTTACATGAACACAATCACATATAGATACAAATCATAAAAATAAGCACACATACCAATAATTAAAAAAAATATTTAAAAGTCAAGTAAAAGCTAACCTAAAAAAGTATGTTTTAAGATAATTAACTTAACAATGATGGACTTTTTTGTGCTGTGCCAGAGAAAACAAAAAGCTGCATTGTAATGACAAGCGTGCTCAAGCTCGGAACATTAAGCACAATGTGAGTACAGGCCAGCAGGGGAATGGGGAGGGGGGCTACAATCGTGCTTGGGCGTGGTACAATTCCTAGTGTGAGTATGCTCTAAGCATTCAAGTCAGGACTTTAACTAGGCCACTCCAAAACCTTAATTTTTTTTCTTTTGAGCTATTCAGAGGTGGATTTGCTCTTGTGCTTTGGTTTGCTGTCTTGCCGCATAACTTAATTGTGCTTGAGATTCCGATCACAGATTGATGACCTGATAGAGAGGAGAATTCAAGGTTCCATCAATTATGGCATGTCATCAAAGCATCCCCATCCTCACAAGATCACACTACCACCACCACGTTTGACTGTTAATATGATTACGGCATATGTAATGGGACTTATGTCTTCCAAATGTTCCACTTTTGACATGTCAGTTCACAACATTATCCCAAACAATATTGGGGGACCACCAAGGTGGTTTTGACAAATACAAGACAAGCCTTTATGTGCCTCTTGGTTAGCAGTGGATTTTCGACTCGCAACTTTCCCATGGATCTTATTTCTCTCTAATGCTGTAATCATGAATGGTGACCTTTTATCTGAGGCGAGCAAGGCCTGCAGGTCCGTTGATGTTTTTCTGGGCTGTTTTGTGACTTCCTGGATAAGTCATTAATTTGCTCTTGTTGGAATTTTGGCAGTCTGGCCACTTCTGTGAAGATTAACCACTGGTAGATGTCTTTTTTTTCCCTTCTGGAGATAATGGCTCTCACTGTGTTCGCTGGAGTCCCAAAGCCTTAGAAATGGCTTTGTAACTCTTTCCATCATTCTGTTCCTTGTGGCACAGTGTGCAGCCTGTTGAGAGTTTAAAGTCTACTTTACATTGTTGGAAACATTGCTACATTGCTATTTAAGTGATGTCTAAATTGAACAAGACTGGCAGAGCTTGTTGGTGTTGGATACCATTTTTCCTTCA